TAGAATTTCCACATCATTTGTACAGTATGCTGCCAACTCCTCATCCAAGTAAAAAGGGAGCTCCTTGTGCTGATCATACCATCGATCAAATTCTTTTCTCTTCTCTGGCATCATCCCATCTGCGAAGTAGTCGGAGGGGACGGGAAACGCATTTTTTCCATAATTCTTAGGCTGATTAATGAGGTGGGGGAAGAAAGGTTTGTCCTCAACCTCAAGAGCAAAAGCCGGGACAAGAGATGCCAAAGACATTGGCATCAGGTTAAAACTGTCCCTGAAGATGAGCATACTCTTTTTTCCAATTTTCACTTTCATCTCATACATTTTATTTCCTCTCTTCAACATTTCAGGAGTAAAACCCATAAGAAAGAGCTCCCGGAACACTATTACCATATCAAACCTCCCTCCAAAATGTGAAAAGGCGATGGTGTCGTAGTCTGTTGTTAATTCGATTATCCATTTGACAAAGGAGATGATTGGATCGTTGGAGACTTTCTGTAGATCCACATGTGTTTTGGAAAATGGGCGCTCTGAAAAAGTTACAACTCTGTTGCTCCCACAAACTTTGCACTGCTCCTGCTCCTCCTCAATACATTTGGGGCAAGTAACTCTTGCTGCGATAAAGTTTGCTTGATGATTTCTCTTGTTGTTTCCATCTGAGACATGTTGCATGGTCTCCAGATCAAAAGCTACAAATCGGTAAGGTTTTTGCTCCTTGGGCTCCAAAGGTTTAATAAAGCATCCGCGCTTTGGGTCGTGGTATCCGGAGCAATTTGAACAATACTTTTCATTGCAAACATGGCCGCTTCTCCCACCTCTTGTGTTGACATAAGTATCCCAGATCACTCCACACTTCTCACAACGTTTGGACTGTTGACAAAATTTCGAATTCAAGTGATGATTGAAGCAATTTTCGTTGTTAAAGCTCTTGGAGCACCCGTTACATTTTGTGGAAAAATTGTTCCTAGGAGGGCATGGGAAGAGTGGCCCTATTCTGGAGCAATTCAAACATTTTGCTCGGCATGTGGAAGAGTGTACTTTAGGATGAGAGTAAACTGTTTCACATTCCAAACAATAAGGCTGACTAAAGAGCCCACCGGTGCAAGTAACTCCATTGAAATGGGAGCCATCAAAGTAGAGGAGCAGTGGTGAATTATAATTATCGGGACCATATTTAAAACATGGTTTGTAGTGCCCCAAACAATCAAAAATAAAAACTTTAAAACAAAACTGGCCTGCGTAAATCTCATTCCAAAAGTCGACGACGGGAGGAACCCATTCCTCAGCATTGTACTCCTTTTGACCAAGAGGAGCTCCAACATGCTCCATCAGCTCCTGTGTCTCCTGTACAAATCGTCCTCTTGATCCAAAACGACTATGAATGTAGTCGTAAAATTGAGAACGAGACATGTTGCCAATAAGCCGCACAAGTGTTGCTAATAAAGAATAAAATAAGCAATAACCATCATTGTTGTTGTTGATTTTGATGATATTCTTCTCTTTGATCTGATGGTGGACAGGAGCAAGTTTTCGAGGAGCTCCGCCAGTAATGTTGCTCTCATTATTCAAATTTTTCTTGTCGACAACCATTACATTAACTGAAAAGGGTTTTCCCCACAGGGTAACACCCGCCTGCTTCTTACTCTGAGAAACATTATTAAATTGATTAAGCAGGACATTGAAGGTATTTTGTGTTGTGGGCCTAAGTGGAATCCAAATATCAGAATCTAATAACTCACTTGTTACTGTGCAACTCAGCTCCTCTGGTACAAGTCCATTGTTCTTCGCGTTGTTCATAGCCTCATTAAAGCATTGTTGGAATATTCCTGATAATAAAGCCTCAGGGTCGGCTGGAATATTCTGAATAAGGAATTTCGAATAATTTTTGGTGATTTTGAATTTATTGATGTATTTTGTCGTGTTTTCTAGTTGCTCAATATATTGATGTAGAGCAGCTTCTCCTCCTGATTGATTAACAGAGAGGAGGTTATCAATAAAGAACGCTCTTGCGCGTTTTGTTGGAGGAATATAGTCCATTATTGAAAAAGGAGCTTCTATTAGAAAAGAGCTCCTATGAAAAAATAGCAAAAATTTATGGGGAGCAAAGAGAGCTCCTATTGAAAATAAAAAAAATGAGGAGCAAATTAATAAATATTTTAAATTATTTAAACTTTTTGTAAAATGAATACAAATGAGAAAAAATCTTTGTTTTTATACTTAATATTTTGCCAAAACTTTTTATAGGCGGTATCTTCAAAGAGGCGTTAAAAGTTTAATTTGCATAAATTTAAGAAAGAGAAAATAATAATTTTAAAATATAGGCGGCATCTTCAAAGAGATTTTAAAACAAAAATTTGCATAAATTTAAAATATCGGCAACATCAAAGAGAAAACATAAATCATTTTATTTTTCAAATTCAATTTTATATTTGGGTCAAGGTCAATTATCTGAAAACTTGACAAAAAGTATTAAAAACAAAGGCAAAATTTTGGGGGAGCAAAAAAAAGAAATTGGGGGTTGAAAAAGCAAAATTTTATTTTTTTTTAAATATTATCAGCTATCATTTTAACGTGTAATCACTAACAAATCATTATTAAAGATATAAAAACATAATAATCATAGTATGGTAATCACTTGATGTATCAATGCGGGTAATCACTTGCCTCAATAATCACATACCGTATAAGCTAGGTAATCACTTATAGGTTCACATGATACGGGTACATGTTTACATTGGTGTATCTAGTAAAGTACACGAATCATCACCCTCGACAGTGAAGACATGAAATTACTGATTCTCCACTATTCACTAACCAATTTGATTTAACATAATTTTATTGCCACCCGAATGTTTTACAAATTGCCTAAACCCTCTTTTATTTTATTAACTCTTTCTTTTGGCTGACCACTCTCTTATTACCCCTCCTCGCTCGCGACATTGCCAACTCCCTTTGATCTTTGCCGCGACATGCCCTTTTGTCGGACCCCTCCTCCTCGACGGGTAGTGGATTAGCTTAGTGCCACCCGCGACGTTGATGTTTTAAAATTACTTACCCCTCTTTTGGGTTTTTCATTCCTCCTCACGAACTGCCCACTTCCCTTTGATCTTTACCGATGCACTCTCCCTTTTATTTGACCCCTCCTCCCCCACGACAGTGTCCACTCCCTTTGATCTTTACCGCGCATTACCTCTCCCTTTTGGTTTTTGTCGGACCCCTCCACCACTTGACGGGGATTAGCTTAGTGACAGCCACGACATCCCCCTCCCACTAACTACTGTTAACTTTTTATTTTTAAAATAAAATAAATAATTAAAGGCAATATTTTCCTTTTAGTCCCTTATTTAAAAGTTCATAAATGCTTTGGCGTAGATATCTTATAGACTAGGGTTGTTGGCGACTGGTTAAAAACCGGTACCCTCGGTTTTGGCCGTCTCTGCAATTTATAACAGGGTCCTTTATTGCGAACTCACATACTTGTAAACTCACACCCATTGCTGACTATTTTTGGAATATTTCTAGGTCTAATTCAAGCCAAATATTATTCGCGTGTGAAACAGATAGTTGTAAATATTTTAACTAAAATTTTCTGTATTGTTGGAATACAACACATCCATTGCTGACTATTTTTAGGAGTGTTTTAAGTCTAACTCAAGCCAAATATCATTCGCGTAGGATACAGATAGTTAAATATTTTACTTTTTAAATTTCGTTTCTTTCATATATTTTAACTAAAAAATCCGTATAAAATGACTGAAGAAGGAGCATCAAATTCTGATTTAATAAATCTTCGAACTAATTTTAACGATCTTCAAATAAAATTTATTGAAGAAAAGGAAAAGACTTTCAATCTTGAAAAGAAATGTTTTTTGCTTGAAAATGAATTGAAGGAAATGGATAAAGTTTGGATTTATTTTTGAATATTTTTTAAAAATAATTTTAGAAAATTCAACAAATAAATTCGGACAATGAAAATAAAATTGAAGAATTGAATCAACATTTTCAACAATTAATTGAAGAAAATAATAAAATTAAGAATTTTGTGGGAATTAAAAAGGTCTATAAAAATATTAAATTTCTTTTAATATTTTAATTCTTTTTAAGGGAGAAGAAATCGAAGAAAAAGACTATGATGATTATTTAAATAGTGATGCATATAAAACTATTCAACAATTTTTGAAAAAGAAGCAACGAGCAACTTTCACAAATAGCTGATGAAAAGTAATAAAAATAGAAGTTGAGTTAAATTTAAATTATTTTTCTGATTTTATAAATTTAAATGTGGTACTAAAAATATAAATTATTTTTTAATCATTTTTGATTAAAAACAAACACAATTTAAATAATTATTATTCTGCAACAAGACTAAAAATTATACTTTTTAGACCAAATTTTTTTATTCAATTTTTTAAATACTCAATACCAATATTCTTAAAGAACTGTTTTTAAACACAATTATTATTACATTTTACTTTTTGTTTTATAAAAGAAATTAAAAATTTGTTGAAAATTTGAATTTTTAAATTCTAGTAAGTGATGATTCTAAAAAAGAAAAATAGTAAAAGAAATTTCAACTTTTTTAAAGTTTTGGGTAAATCCCTTTATTATTCTCAACTAACGACATGTTTTTGAAAGAAATATTTATTTTGAAAGGGAATTACTTGACTTAAAATATATTTTAACCCCCTTAGAGCTTATATAAAATTTTATTTTGGGCTTATTATAAAGCTGACAAAATTTGCTACAAAATACACGCGGTTTCATACTTATAAAAAATTTTTTAATAGGCCTTAGTATATTTTTAGTCAATTTACTTGGTGATTTTATTTTATATTTTAATTTTTTAAGAATATTTTGTCAATTAAAAAATTATTTACTTTCTCACATACTTAATGCACAAAACCAATATTATTTAACAAAGAATTGTTAAAATACTCAGAAATAAAAAAATAAAAATATTTTATAAATAAAAGTCATCACAAAATTAATCAAGAATTCTATATTCAGATAAAATTAATAAATTCTTTAAGAATGAAATGGTTTGAGATGTCGTATTTAAATGGTTTTGATGCCAAATCATTACCAAAATTAGCTTCAATTGAACAACATTTTAGATAAACATAAGGTTTAAATGAATCAGAAATACCCTTTAACAAAATACCATTACCTTAAAAAACATTTTTAAAAATATTTTTTACTAAATATTTACCAATTTGTTGTCCATTTTGAGTAAAAAAGATATAAGGAAATTCTTCATCCAATTTATTACTTGAAGGATAAACTATTCCACACCCAAAGATATCATTATTATTGAAAGTTGTTGGAAGCCGAAATTCTTTTCTTTTCTCGTTCTTAATCATAGATTCATTTGCAACGAATCTAATACGGTTATTCACATTACAATTTTTAAGACCAATATTCACACATGCTTCGTCTATATTTAATTCCCCTTCAAATTTACATTTAATTTCAAAATAATATAAAGAATAAGTAAAACAATTTTGCGGTTTGTCAAATGAATTTTCTGAATAAACAAAAACTTCTTTATCACAACCTGAAAATATTTTTTAAAAATTCAAAAATTCAATACAATTCACCTCCTTTCCCTTCCAAGCATTTAATATAATTAATATTTTCATCATTAATTAAATTTCCAAATCCATTTCCTTTAATACATTTACCAACAGGTTTGTTGGTATTTACACAATTGTTGAAACAACAGATCCATCCACTATGAAATTCACACCATTTATTTTTAATCTCAATATACTTCTTCAAAAAAAATTTATTTTCTAAATTATTTAAAGACTAACCACGCAATTCAAATTATTTAATTTAATTAAATCACCAATTGTTTTATCAAATAAATCATTTGCCTGTTTACGAAATTAAATTATAATTAATTTTAAAAATAATTTGTTAATTTTCCTTATATCGTCCATTTTTTCCCCTTTTTCTTTTACCTACTTTCTCCATAAAATACAAATTGTCTAAAGTATGTTGTCAAGTCAAAAACAAAAATCGGTCCACCACAATGTTAAACTCCCAAAAGGTTACTGACTTCACATTAGTGACCAGCGCGGGAATGGATCCGTGTCCGCAATCCCTTTGCGGATTTCGGATGCGAATCATGTCACGCAAAAATTTTGAAAGAAAATCCCACATGGAGAAACAATCTCGATCACGATTTTACGTCTCTACTTCACATATTTGAGCGGAATACCTCGTGGGAATTGACTTTTTGGATCGATCCATCAAAAATATTAAGAACATAGGAAAGAAAAAGGAAATCAAATTGATAACAGGAAAATAATTCGTATCTAAATAACTTTTAACTGATTAATTATTTACCCTATTAATTTCTTCCTCTAAAGAATTAATCTTTATGTCCTTCTGATCATTTTTTAATTGTTGAATAATTTGTTCAATTAATTGTACAGTATTTTGTTTTAAATTTATAATTTCAATTGTATTTTCTGCCTTTATTTTTACAATTTTATTTTCATTCTCAGAATTTGCTTCTTGAATTTTCTAAAATTATTGGATTTTTTATTAAAAATCCAAAAAATATTCCAAAAAGATAATTTGAAGCATTTTATATTTCAAAATAAACATAGTAATTAAAGTTTACACAACCTATAGCAAAAACTTCGAAATTGTATGTATCACTTTCATCCTATTTATAATTTTCCCTTATTTTCGAACTCTTCGCCCTATTTTGTCCCTATTTTCTACATTAGACATGCTTTTAAATTTTTTGTAATATTTTCATAATTTTTGGCTTTTTGTACAGGGTGCGGCAAATTTAGCGCCGACTTTGTTTTGGCTATAACTTTTTTAATTTTAATCGAAAATTGATAATTCTTTTTTTGTTTTACACATAACACTTTAGGAAATCTATTGGTACCAAATAATAAACATTTTGTTTGCGGATATCAATGAAAAACGAGTCCGAACATAAAAACGGGTAAAAATGGATTTTTCATGTCAAAGTTTAATTGATCATAACTTTGTTCAAAATCATCCAATCCGAATAATTTTGGTACCAATCGACTTATCTCGTTCAGGCGTATCGAAATAGCTAATAATCTCATTTTTGAAAATTTCACACAAAAAATTCGTATATGCCAAAATTTGTTTAATTTATCATTCAGTGAGCCATATCTCGGTCCATTTATGTGATAGACGCCTGATTTTGACGTCATTCGAATCAGATTGGAGAGCTGATTCGAATGATATATAAACTTCATAAATTAAAATAATAGCCTTGAATCCAGGCCATATTTTATCCAAAAATTTTTGCTCGAAATTTGATAGAAAAATAATCAAACTTAATTATAAAATTTAAAAACGATTTTGGTATCAACAATTTTCCTAAAGTGTTGGGAATCCAGGAAAAAAAGAATTATCAATTTTCGTTTAAAATTAAAAAAGTTATAGCCAAAACAAAGTCGGCGCTAAATTTGCCGCACCCTGTAAAAAAATGTGGAAAAATTCGGGACCGAGACAATTTTAACTCATATTCGGACTCATGTCAGCACATAGGTTACTTATTGGGTAAACCTCAAAAATAATGGAAAAGTACATCCGCATTTTTCTAGATGAAAAAAGAATCAAATTAACTATTTTTGCCTAAATTATAACTTATCTTTTATACATTTTTAATTTCATATTTAGAAAATAAAAACAAATTTATTTACCTTTTTAATTTTGCCCTCCAACGAATTAATCTTGTCATCTTTTTGCCTTAAACAAACATCATTTTCAGCCTTTAATTGTTTATTATTTTCTTCAATTAATTTTTGAAAATTTTGTTTTAAATTTTTAATTTCATTTTCATTGTCAGAAGTTATCTAAAAATAAAAATTTATTAATTTAATTTAATTTTTAACACAAAGGTTGAGATAAAATTTAAAAAAATGCAATTATTCTTTTAAAATAGAAAAATGTTTTCAGAAAGGAATCCGAAAATCAGTGATTAAATTTTTCTTTACTTATCAGATAAATCCAGTAATTTATTTATATATTAATATTTTTGAGACAAACTCCTCATGAAAATTTAATAAATCTTCTCAATGGACACAAAAAATGATTTTATATTTTAATTTACCTTTATAATTTTTCCCTCTAAATAATTAATTTTCTCGTCTTTTTGATCATTTTCGGTTTTTAATTGCTCAATATTTTGTTTCATTTCTTCAATTTTCTTTTCATTGGCATAATTTATCGTTTGTATTTGCTAAAATTATGCATACAAATATTAATTTCTATTAAATTTTCAATTCATTTTGAAGTGAAATAAACAAAATTTTCTGTCAAACCGAATTAAAAATTACATGCTAATTCGATAATTTTTTTAAAAAATATATTATTTAGATATCAAGCATTTGTTCCGACTGATTCTAACAATTCTCGATCATTCAAGTGTGCAAAATCTTTTCCTAATCCGAAAATATTTTTATTTACCTTTTTAATATCTTCTTCCAAAGAAGTAATTTTTTCGTCTTTTTGCTTTAAAAGGATAGCATTTTCAGTTTTTAATTGCTTAATATTCTCATCAATTAATTGTTGAAAATATTGTTTTAAATTTTTAATTTCTTTTTCATGTTCAGAATTTATTGTTTGAATTTTCTAAAATTAATATTAGAAAATATAAATGACAGTACTTATATAAACAAAAATAAATTTTTGTTTCTTAATTAGCATACAAATGTGAAGAATACTCCAAAAATAATCCCAAAATACCCCAAAAAATTCTATCTCAATAACTTTAAAAATAGAGTTTACAAATGTTTGTTCACAAATTTGAAATCATCTATTTGACCTTAGTGTATTTTTATAAAAAAAAAACTAGATAGGTAGATATCACCTTTTTAATTTCTTCTTCCAAGGAATTAATTTTCTTATCATTTTCAGCTTTTAAATGTTCATTATTTTCTTCAATTAATTGCTTAATGTTTTGTTTTGTCTCTTCAATTCCATTTTCATTGTCAGAAGTTATTTTTTGGATTTTCTAAAATTATTTAAAAATATTCAAAAAATGATCCAAAATATACTTTTAATTCATTTTCAAGCTTGAAAGTCTTTTCCTTCTCTTCATTAAATTTTAATTGAAGATTATTAAAATTAGTTTGAAGTTTAATTAAATCATTGCTTTGATTATGCAACTTTAAAATAATTTTTTAATTTTTAAAATTTTATTTAAATTTACTTTTAATTCAAAGTCAGAATTTGATAATCTTTCCTCAGCCATTTTACAAATAATTTTTAATTAAAAAATTTCGAATGAAAAACAGAATTTAAAAAATAAAATATCTAAATTTGTTAAAATATATTTTAAATTGAATTCAAAAATTTAAATAAATTTATTTTAATTTACAAATAAAACGTCTCTCTTTAAGAAATGAAAAGAGAATTGGATAGAGGATCTAAATAAATTAAATAATCAAGTCCGAAAATAATTAATTTTTCTTAACTAAAATTTATAGAAAGGTAAATTAATTTAAAAAATACAAAAATTAATTTGATATTGAAGGATTTTTTTGCTCAGAGAATATTTTCCAGTAAATACATGTGAGAAAAAGAGAGGAAAAAAGAATTTATTTATTGAGGGAATATTTTAAAAGAAAAACAGAAAAATGTCTAATTCAAAACAGAGCTGCGTCGAAACAAAAAATAATTCCAAATAAGAATTTGATTAAAAACCAAAAACTATAAAGCATGCGAAAGGATTTTGGCATAAATCCTTTCCCGAAGAGCACAAAATTCTAGAGCTTAATATTCCGCTTTTTTCATGTAGAGCGTAAATTTGGAACTGCCGATGATACCAAAAAATATAGAAGAAATGATTATCATTCAATGTTGGATGGAGCACCTTATCAATTGTACTTTTGAATGTGTAGCTTTTATAGAGTTGTATTTAATCCCGAAATGATTAATTTATTATTTGACAATTACAACTCGATTCCTTTACAATTTCAAATTCAAACCCCAATTCTCATAACTGACAATAATACAATATTTAAACATTTTTGGAAATTTGCTTTCAATTATTCAATCATTCCAGAATCTCTTAGTTTTTGTTTTAATCAGTCAAACATTTCAGAGCAACATATTAATATTTTATTCAATTTTTTAATAAATGAAGACAATAAATTATCTGAAGTATATTTTTCATTTGTTGGACCTCCACGACTTTATGAGCTTATTGTTGAAGTAACCCGACTTCCTTTTTGAACAAAATTGATTTTAACTTTTAGTATGTAGCAACATCTAGAAACTGTTCAAAGATGGTGGATTTTATTAGATTCCATTATTACAATGCCACAGATTTACCATTAGATAAAAGAGCAATAATAGTTGAAATTGAACAACTCGATGATCGAAAATTAACTAAATACCAAATTGTCAATATTTACAATCAAAAAAAGATATTTTATTTTTGCAGTGTTAAAAAGAAAAATGGATTAAGTATTATGTTATCCTCAAGAAATTTGGAATAATGGAGTTGATAGGAATAAAATAAAAATTTATGATTTATTTGATAATGAAATATCTAAACAAAATATCGCTTTAAAATCTTTCGAACAAATCGTTTTATTTATTTAATAAAATTTAATTTTATCATTCTTATGTAGTTGCTTAAAGGCTGCAAACTTATTCTTTAATATTTTTAAACTCAATTTACATACCGTATTCTAATATAACGACATGTCGTTTTAATTTCCAATCTGTTGGATCCAATATGTATTTAAAACATGGTAGCAACAGGTCGAGGCCGAGGTTGAGGCCTCGCCGAGGTCCTCGCCGTTTTATCAAACTCGACCTCGATTTTGCTGACCTCGGGCCTCGGAACCTCGTCTCGGTCCTCGCCAGAACCTCGCCGAGGACCGAGGTTAAATATACACCCCTAAGAATTGCCTTTTTTATAAAAAATTTTATCCCTCTTGATCAAATGACTTCATCTTCAAATCAATAATATATCTTAAACCCACCATTAATCTCTCTAATCCCCTTATATCCCCAGATTGCGGATTGCGTACAATTGAGTGTTTTTTGACTTGCGGATTTCTGTAATATAGTATCTTAATTAGTTCACTCTAGTCTACCCTTAAATCCTCAAATACACGCCCAATCTGTTTAAATACACGCCCAAAATACACGCCCAATCTTTGAAATTATTTGAACAAAGCTTTGAGTTGTCTGATCTATAATGGACCATTCATTTGATCTGGATCAGATGGAAAATATTATTTTTATAAGGAGTTATTGAATATTTAATAAAATTGCTTAAATTTAAGTAGATTTTTAAAAGTTATAACAATTTTTATAAACCTCGGTTATCCTCGGTTCTCGGTCTCGGGTCTAAATTTGCCCTTCGACCTCGATCTTGGCTTTTCTAGCCTCGGAGATCCTCGGCCTCGGGTTTTTCCGAAAACCTCGACCTCGTGCTACTCTAATTTAAAATAACATATTAATTTTTAAAATGTTATTTTTATTTATTTTAATGTTTTTCCCTTTTTATTTAAACTATTCCCTCGAAACAAATTTTAAATGTTTCTTTACATATTATCATTTTACAACATTTCCCCAAAATATTATTTGAACTGTTTTTCTCTTTATAGTTTTTTATAGACATTTTCCTTAACGTACATTTGTATTTCATACCTTAACCTTTCTTTACATCCCGCCCTCTATCACAGATATAAATAGCTTTTTATATTTCTGAAATGCGGCGAAGAACAGTCGCCATCAATTTTGTTTTGTCTAGAAAGTGCATTTAGTCCCCATTTTGTTCAATTCTCTTCCACTCTACTCATTTCAGTTTTTCACATTTATACAATAAAATTGATATTTTCTTCACTCTTACTAAAACTATTTTCAGACTAAAGTTATAAAAAATGAATTTTCTTCCACCAGAAATTCAACTAGATATATTTAAATGTCTTAATTTTGAGCAATTATTAAATATTCAACAGACAAATTATTTTTATAAGGTTTTTGTTAAAGAATATGAAAATCTATTGGCACTTAAGAAATTTTATAAAATTAAAACTGTAATCTGTTAATATTAGGGTTGATCACTACCGGTTATTAACCGGTACCCCCGGTTTTCGGTTTTGACCGGTTTACGACCCCCGGTTTTCGGTTTCGGTTTATGACTGACCCCCGGTTTTCGGTTAACCGAAACCGGTTTATGCCTGAATTTTCTATCCAGAATATTCAGTTCTTATTTTAATCAATTAAAATGCAGTAAGGCGGGCTATATCTATTTCTCTCCTTTAGCTAGTGGTTATTCGGTGGCTGGGAGCGAACCAACATCTTCAGTAGACCGGACTGATATGTGTATGTATTTTTTGTTAAAATCCATCTCTTTATCCATCTCTTTTTGCGCCGCAGGCGAAAATTTTTCAAATTTTGGTCCTCCCTTAATCTAAAAATCTTCCTGTTCTTGCGCCGCAGGCGAAAATTTTTTTAACTTTGAAAGAGCATTAGCCTAGAATTCATATATTTAAAAATATTAATTACTTTTTTATAAGAAATAGTTTTTCCGGAGCCTGTCCCCGGCACTGATCATACCCAGCAACAAGCCAGATTGTATTTTTTTTAGCGCCACAGGCGAAAATTTTGAGAATTTTGGAAGGCCGGAGGCGAAAAGATTCAGTTTTTGGCACCGAAGTATAAAGGCAAATAAACAGATTTATTCTTTTTAGCAGCGCTTACAAAACTGTTGAGAATGCTTAAAATAAAAGTCTTAAACAATAAATATTTATTTTTTGAGAAACATAATATCCCTTATACTACTATTCTGGGATTCGAACCAAACACTAAGACAAAAGCTTAACCAATCAACTTAACCAATCAACCATACATACACATCCTGATCTAGGAGAATTAAAGAAATTATATCGAAAACAATTCGAGAAAAATATTTTGGCAAGATGTGTTTTGTGAACTCAAATGAACGAAAAATTTCCAAAAAATTCCATCCTTAGGGGTGTATTTTATAAACCGAAAAACCGGTCGGTTTAGGCCACCGGTTTTCGGTTTTCGCCGGTTTTTGACCCCCGGTTTTCGGTTTCGGTTTATTGGCCAAAAACACCGGTTTTCGGTTTCGGTTTCGGTTCGGTTAACCGACCGTGATCAACCCTAGTTAATATGTATTAAATTGATTTTAAGAATTTTTTAGGTGTATATTTACAAAGGCAGTTTACCTTATATTAAATTTTTTAAACCAGAACCCAAATTTTATGACTTTGAATTGAGTGAAGAATTGGAAAATAAAGTTAAAAATTAATATTTTTAAATTAAAATAAATCAATTTCAGTGGAAATGTGGTATGGAAAAATCAATTCCTTTGTTTTTAAGTAATGACGAAGAAGGAATATATGTTTCTGCCTGTCAAATAGAGCAAAGTTCTGAATGCAAGCAAGGTTAATTTGTTATTAGAGACTACGGTTATCCATTCATGTAATTGAATCTGAGCACTATTTTCGATTATTTTTTAAAAATTTAAAATTTACAAACAGTTAATTTTCGCCATATTTTATCTTTACAATTTCACGGACCTTTCCTCTAATTGAAAACGTGTCGGGAAAACTCATGGAATAGACAACTCAAGGAAAAGACAGGTCAAGTAACGACCAAATGATGGAATATTTTAAAAATCGGGAATTTTTTGAAAAATCTGAATATTTTTAAAAATAAAAATTTAAAAAAATAAGAATACTTTAAAAAACAATTGAAAAAAATTCTGTTTAAAATATACCATGAGTTGGTCGTTCCTTGACTTGTCGTTCATTGAGTTGTCTGTTCTTTAAGTTAGCCTTCACCCAGCTGAAAACTATTCAAATCTTTATTATTTAGAAATCTTTTTACAATTTTCAAATGTTCCAACAAATATTGAAGAAATGAAAATTGCTCGTTATTTATTGAATCAACTTTTTAAATGTGTCTTTAAATCTACTGATTTTAGTGGCGGTATATTTAATCCGCAAATGATCGAATTATTATTTGATGAAAACAAAACAAATATACCTTTACAAATTCATTCTAACGTTGCCAATCTATCTATGGGAGATTTTTCAAAATTTGCTTTGAATCATTTGATTTCTCGGGGATTTATCGCTAATGTTAGCCTTGCCAGCAGTATAGAGCAATGTAGAAATAATTTATTTGAAATTTTGATAAATAGAGGAAATAGATTTTCTAATGTGTGGTATGCTAATGCCACTTATATATTTTACAATCTAATTATACAGGTAAATATGTTTGTAATATATCGGAGTTAATATGTTTCCCCGACGGGGGGGGGGCACGTGGAAAACTTTCATGGAGGCAGCGCCACGTGTGGGTGGGGGGACTTTCGGGGACGGGCACATGGTACAACCCTAATCGGAGTAATTTGAAAAAATACTTATTTAATTTTTGTTTTTTCGTCCTTTCGTATACGGATCATTAGATAAAAGATGAGTACACTGGGGGAGACTTGATTAATTTGATATCTATTTTTAAATGAAATTTACTTTTAGAAATATTTTAAAAATTTTAATTTAGCATATAGAAACATCAAAAGATCTTTCTAAAATGGTAAAGGAAATAACATTGAGTAATGTTCATGGTGATATTTTGAAAAACAAAAAAACAGAAAATATTGAAAAAGAGATTGGCTTCAACAATTTAAGATCAGTGGAATACCAGCTTTCCAATAAATACAATCCAAAAATAAAGTTTTCTGTTAATATTAAAGAAGTCGCTAAGTTGTGTTTTAATGTTGAGGAAAAATTTCGGAAAACGAACAGAGCGCAAATGGGTCAAATCATATGTCATTCGAAAGAGCTCGTCGTTTGAGTCGAATGGTGAAAAAATTTTCGTGCGGACTCATAGAGGGGCTGAGATATAGGCCCCCGAAAATCGAAAAACCATAGGGGGGACCAAGCACTTTTTTGGGGTGAAAAATTCGAAAATGCAAATTATACCTCATTCGAAAGAGCTCATCGAGCTGAGTTGAATGACACCAAAATCAACTATAAATCTTGATTCTGAGCCGAGATAGAGGCCCAAAATGGTCAACGTAAACCTATGGGGCGTAGGCGAGGCGCTTGTGCAAAACCCCGCGCTTCGCGCGGGGTTTTGCGGCACGCGCCTCGCGGGGAGTCTACGGGCGATGGGTCTGGGCTCGTAACTTAATCCTATTCCAATTATCGCTGTAATGGGTTATCTGGCTTCCTCCGTAGCAGGAAATCTTCGACGGATACCAAAGGTAAGGAGCTAAAACAAACGATCATAGCTTTGTTAAATCAAGTCAGATTTCGTTGATTTTGGTGTCATTCAACTCAGCTCGATGAGCTCTTTCGAATGAGGTATAATTTGCATTTTCGAATTTTTCACCCCAAAAAAGTGCTTAGTCCCCCCTATGGTTTTTCGATTTTCGCGGACCTATATCTCAGCCTTTCTATGAGTCCGCACAAAAATTTTTTCACCATTCGACATAACTCGACGAGCTCTTTCGAATGACATATAATTTGACCTATTTCGGATCTGTTCGTTTTCCGAAATTATACCAATGTTGAAATAAGAGAAGTAATTGAACGTTGTATTTGTCTTGTTATAATGTAAATTCGTTTTTGGAACAAAATTTGATTATTACGATTTTAAGTTATTCTACAAGAATGATAAAGATTAAATTTTATTTTTTATAAACCTTTTTCCCGAGTTAAAACTATAATTTTTTTATAGCGGGTGTGTTGGGATACGGGGTGATAATTTTTGAATTTGTACCAGAGGTGGGTCGGAATTTCGACTTCCGACATTTTTTTCCTTCCGACATTTTTTCCCACTTTTTTCCTTCTTTTAACTTTTCAAATTTGACTTTTGACAATGGCATAATTCGCACTCATGTCAGAATTATGAAAATGGAATTATAATTTGCTAACGACATATTTTTAAAAATGTTTTTATTCAATTTTTCGAGTAAATTGTTTTTGTTTTATTAAAGGATTAGCATTATTTTAATTGGATAAAGTTTGTAAAATTCTACCGGGTTATCTTTTGTTGAATAAAAAATTTGGAAATATAAATCTAAAAATATTAATTTTTTAGCCTTTCAAACTTTCACAACTTTATAATTTAGGCCCAAGCCTGTCAGCTTAATAGATTAATAGAAAATTGTAAAATTTTATTCGACATGTAAACATGATATAACAAACCCCCAATCTATTGGGTTTTATAATTTATTATACCCCGCTATTTCTTAAAAATTTATTTTAAATTTATCTTAAAATTTGAGAATATTAAACCATAATAAAATTTATTTAATAAAATTTATTACATAAAAAAATTTCTAATTAAATAAAAAATTAATATTAAAACAAAAAATATATTTAGTTCAATTATAAGTATTTAAAAATTACCTAAATTGTTTTATTTGCCAAATTTCTTAAAAATAATTTTTTACTGAGTCATACGTCATTTAGTAAATTATTATTTGAAAAACTATTAGTTAACTCTATTTTTTTTTATTTATTTTCTATCGATAAAAATTTAACTTTAAAGAAAATTTAAAAATAATTTTTTATTCTTTCATTCCCATCATTTAAAAAAATCCTTCAACAAAAAATATTTAAATGTCACAACAACAACAACAACAACAATGCATTACAGAACAACCTCAATTAACAGGATATGCCGAACAATTAGATGATAAACGAAACGAGAAAAGAAGGACTTATCCAGATTGTAGATGTTCTGATTGTGGTTGGAATTTTTGAGATTAACAAAAATTTTTTGAAAAATACCTAATATTATTTTATGACTGTTTAGGGATGGAATTCTTATTTAAATTACTACAAAAAAATTAATTAGAAATTTATTTTTTAGGTGATTGTTGTAATCATTGTCTCCCAGAAGATTGTATGGAATGTTTGGGGGATATCTTTTGTTGTTCCTCATTAGCTTCTAATCCAAATTCTGGGTGTGACTGCTCTGGTTGTGACTGTAGTGGGTTAGATTGTGGAAATGTTGATTGTGGGGGTGGTTGAGATATTTGATGTTGTTTTCGATAATGAATATAGTACGTGTAAGCAAATTTAGCCTAAATAAAGCCCTGGGTGTCTATTTTTCCATAGGTCACCTTGGGTGGGTTTATATTGGATATTGGCTCCTATGTATGAGAATGGCCGTTTATTTTTCAATATTTTAACTTGGATCACATTACATAATAAATAATTATCGATATAAGTTATTAACTATTACCTCAGATTTTTTGCTCAACCAGTCAGTTCCGATTATAAAAATAACAATAATATAAAAAAGTATCAATCCAAAAATGATATTTTATTTCAGCAGTGATGAAGGGGAATACTATGGATCAACTGTTATGTAATCACGAAAAATTTAGGAGAATGGATTTGATAGGATTAACACAAAAATTTGTTAATTTGTTTGAAAATGAGAATGTTGTGACTTATAGCGGGTTTTTTGTTTCTGAACCGATTTCGACAAATGAGGTGTCATTCGAAAGAGCTTCGAAAACTGAGTCGAACTAGATACGGGGGAAGTCGATCCGACAATCAGGGACTGAGTTACAGACCCCTGAAGTTTGAAAAAGAGAAGGAGGGAGTAAGCTGATTTCGAAGTGAAAAATTCGAAATCGCAAATAATAGCTCATTCGACTCAGCTCGACGAGCTGAGTCGAATGACACCAAAATCAGCTCGATATCTTGATTCTGAGCCAAGATAAACAGGTTCAAAATGGTCAACGTAAACCTATGGGGCGTAGGCGAGGCGCTTGTGCAAAACCCCGCGCTTCGCGCGGGGTTTTGCGGCACGCGCCTCGCGGGGAGTCTACGGGCGCTGGGTCTGGTTCAGTAACATAAACCTATTCCCATTTCCCTTGTTCTGGACATAATTGGGCCTCCGTAGCAGCAAAAACCTCCACATAGACCATAGGTAAGGAGCTAAAACAAACGATCATAACTTTGTCCAATCAAGTCGGATTTCGGTAATTTTGGTGTCATTCGACTCAGCTCGTCGAGCTGAGTCGAATGAGCTATTATTTGCATTTTCGAATTTTTCACCTCGAAATCAGCTTACTCCCCCCTTCTCTTTTTCAAACTTCAGAGGTCTGTAACTCGGTCCCTGATTGTCAGATCGACTTCCCCCGTATCTAGTTCGACTCAGTTTTCGAAGCTCTTTCGAATGACACCTCATTTGTCGAAATCGGTTCAGAAACAAAAAACCCGCTATAAGTCACAATACCCGAAAATGAAATTGATAAAAAATATTATTTAAAAATCTTTCGATTAATTTTTTTAATTTAGAAAATTTAATTTTCGCTATTTTTAACTAGCTAAAGCACACTTTGTTTTTGAGCATCTTTAAACTCAATTTAAATAACATATCAATAATAATTTTTTGAATTCCCACTAATATTTATTAGTTGTTGCTAATATATGACACAAACTAGGGAATAAATTAAATCTGTTCAATTAATTCTCTTAATTTCAAACTCATTGCCACCAATAAACATAATAGTCTTAAACAGTTCTTTAATACAAATACAAAATTTAATTTCTGGATTGTATCCATTGGAAAGTTGATATTTTGTAGATTCCAAATTATTGTCTCTAACTTCGATTTTATAAAATTTAATTTCCTTCACCATTTTTGAAACATTTTTTGATGTTTCTGTGTGCTAAAATTAATAATCAAGAATAACTATTATTTCTATACCTGTACAATAAGATTATAAAGCCATAGCAAGTTTTGATGTTTATAACAAACTTTAGAAAATTTATTTCCTTCATCTGTTAAAATCACAAGTAAAATATTAAAATATTGTTCTATATTGAGGGCTTTATTGAGACAACCAGTAAATTGATTAGACTTGAGATGATTGATTGCTATTCAAATTTGAATAAACTAATTATCTTATGTTTTAAAATAAAATCCAGATTTTGAAGAGAAGGAAAAGGCAGTTAATCTTGAAAGAGAGAATTTTATACCCGAAAATGAATTAAAGGCAACAGAGAAAGTTTTGATTATTTTAAAAACTATTTGTGAAAATAATTTTAGAAAATTCAAAAATTAGATTCAAATGATGAAAAAGAAATTGAAGAAATGAAACAAAATTTTCAAAAATTTATTGAAAAATTTCAACAATTAAAAGAAGTAAGTAAACAAGCAAAAAGACGAGAAAATTAATTCTTTGAAAGAAATGAAAAAGGTAAAAATAAAAAATATTCTAAAAAGTTATTTTAATAAAATACTGTCGCGAACAAAAAGAGAAAATTACGACCGGTAATATTAAGGACGGACCTTTTATTTAGTTCTATTTTCTCTATCAACTCAATAAGATATTTTTTTAAAGTAAAAATTTAAATCCAAATTAGATTAAAAATCAAACATTTCTGGTAAACTAGGATATGCTTTATTTTTTGGTGTAATTTTCAA